TTGAAATCCAGCTGGGATGAATGAGGAGCTCAAGTCCGGATGTTATCGAATTGCGATTCCTGTAAATGGCCGCACATGGCTAGTGGCTACAGCACTGGATAATATATAAGAAAGCGCAAAAAGGAGGCAGGGCAACAAAATGCTGAGGGAAAGATGGGAATTCAGTAGGATTTCTGCCAATACCTGGACAAATGCCCACTGAGAACTGGGGCTCCCGCTTTCTTGCCCTCCACAAGCAAGGGCGCCACCAGGTTATTCATTGCTACTGCTCCAGCTCTGAGACAGCAGAGTGAATGCAGTAAGAGAGGTCAGGGAGGAGGCAGGAAGAAGGGGGAGCACTGAGCATCTGCTGACTTGATGGGGAGCACTCATCAGGAACAACAGGCCCCATTACTGACAGCCTATACACTGGAAGGCCTTTCCTCACATTGATTCTCCTGTGCGCTGAGGGGAGTTTCTGTCAGAGCTAGGAAAGTTTCTGGATTTCCACCACAGAAGCCACAATACTCAAGAGCCCCCTTTCTCCCTGCATATTCATGTCTAATATAAACCTACTTATGCCTTTAATCCCAGCACTTGAGAGGCAGAAGCAGGTAGATCTCTGACTTTGAGGCCAGCCTGGTCTCTACAGAGTGAGTTCCAGGACAGCCAGAGCTATGACACAGAGAAATCCTGTCTCAACAAACAAACAAACAAAACAAAACAAAACAAAACAAAACAAAACAAAAAACAAACAAACAAACAAAAACCTGAGCTAGTATGTGTGAAATGTATGAAACCCTTGGGCTGTGGGAGACCCTTCACCTAACCTCTGTCACTACATCTCTAAACCCTGTGAGACAAAGCCCTCTGACCTTATCCTGATTGTCAGTTTCATGGAATTTAGAATCGCCTAGGGTGTGCTGTGAGGGTGTTCCCGAGAAGTTTAACTGAGGCTAGAAGACCCACCCTAAATGTGGGCTGCTTCAGCCCTAGGGGTTGGGGTTTTAGAGCGAATAAAACGGGGAGAGAGAAGACCACTTGAACAGCAGCCTCCACCTCTCTTTGCTTCCTAACTGTGGCTGCAATGTAACCAAGAGCCTCATGTTCCTGAGGCCAGGTCTTCTCACCATGGTGGCCTCACCACTTCTCGAACTGGGCAGAGAAATAAAAACAAAACTTCCTGTAGTTGCTTTCTTCAGTTATTTTATCATGACAATGGGCAAAATAACTAACACAGGCCCCCGTTACTCCCATTTGACAGGTAAAGAAGCTGAGGCTCTGAGAAGTAAAATAACCAGTTTAGCAAGTGTCTCCAGTCCCAAATTGCAGCCAGAACTCCCAGGGAGAGCCCAGAGTTCAGTTCTGTTCCAGCTTTACTATGCTGTGCACTCTTTGAAAGCTGAGTCCCTCCCCCAAACTTTGCCATGCCACTCAAAGAGAGAATGCAGGGTCCAGTGACACTAAATGTGGGTACTGACATAGACAAGACATAAGAGGACAGACACCTCACAGGACACACTCTGTGAGGGACACAGAGTCCCTGGTCTCCACAATGAAAAAATGTTTGGTCCTGGTAGAGACTAGAATAAAAGGGGTGAGTCCCAGAGCTCACACCAGCCTTGTCCAGGGATATGCCCATGATTCCATGGGGATGATCAAAGCCATCACATGCAGCTTCTATGCACCTCTGGAAACCACCGCCAAATACACTCAACTCTAACAAAAGCATAGGACAGTGTGCCCAGAATGATGCACTTGTTCAGAAATGCTTATATAAGTATATGTCCCTAGAAGGATACGAAAGAAACCAATAAACAGCAGTGGCCTCCATCTTTAAAGTCCCTACCATGTTTACACAAATCCTTCAAATATATACACACTCATAATCGACTAAAAAGACTCTTTGAGCCAGGATGAGATGTTACTGTGTGTAGGTGGAGGTAATGTGACTAGGATTCCTGAGACAGGCTCTCTCATCGCAGTTAGGATGGGGAAGGCTCTTATTCCTGATGGAGCATCCTGCCCAAGGTAGTTTTTACCTATGGGCCCATCTCTACCCTCCAGAACACACCAGCTCAGAACACGCCAGCACAGAGAAGAGGTTTTCAGAAACAGGGTGGGACTCCCTGGCAAGGATCAAGGTAGAAGAATCTGGAATTGAGGAATGCAGATCGTCCATGGACGCATGTGTGAAGTGCAAGTCCACATGGGAATATGGAACACTTGCCTTCAGCCCCCTCTATATCCCCAGTCTAAATGATTTTGCTCATATCCCATCTCTGCCCCAAGACCCAGTACCTCTGAGCCTGCTTCCATGTCTGTCAATGAGTATGTGGGAGCATGTATGCCAGCTTAAGCAGCTTGGGAGCATGCAAATAAATACATGTATTTATCGTGTGTGTGTGTGTGTGTGTGTGTGTGTGTGTGTGTGTGTGTGTGTGTGTGTGTACGGGTACATACACCACAGTGCACGCGTGGAGGTCAGAGGACAACCTTGGGTGTCAGTCCTCACCTTTCACCTTGTTTTGAAGCAGTGTCTCTTGTTCACTGCTATAAACGCCAGACTAGCTGATCCATGAGCTTTTGGGGGTTCTCTTGTCTCCATCTCTTGTCTTGCCATAAGCACACTGGGATTACAGATGCATGCTACTGCATCTAGCTTTGCATGGGTTCTAGGGGTCCAAAGTCCATTCCTCATTCTTGGAAAGCAAGCACTTTAGCCACTGGGCTATCTCCCTGCCCACTATCTAGTTTCTCTGCTTCTCTCTACGTAGGTCTGTTGCTACCTCTGCTGCCTTACTGGAATACGTTCATGTATCTACCTACAAGAGGTGTCTGGCATGGTGGCCAAGAACACGAGGCTGCTTCCTAGTTAATATCTAAGAGGCAATTGTATCTGAAGTACCTCTGTAGTTCATACTGCCACATTCAGCAAATAAAACTACAGGACACCAGTTGAATCCAAACTGGACATAAACTGAGAATGTATTTTTAACATAAATATGTCTTGTGCAATATTTAAGATTTACTTATACTAAAACTGTATTCATTATTTATTTGAATTTCAAACCAAACTGAGTGTCTTGTGTGGGAACTAGCCGGCCCACATAGCATAAACATGACTCTTGCCTCACACACGCTGGGCAGAGCTGTAGGGTTTTGGTCATCTGAAAGTGTGTGGACATCACCATGCACAGAGCTGAGGCTTCTGGGGGCACTGTGAGTTTCCTCTTTATCTTTTATGTGCTTCTGTCATCTAATGGGAGAGAAGCAACAGCTCCTGCCTCTTCAGTTCAGACCCCAAAAGAGAAAGGAGAACAGACCTGATGCTGACCCACAACCCAGTCCAGTCAATCCAGAGATTCCCAAATAAGAACTAAAGACTCCTGGAAAGTCTCTGAGTCACTGAAGTACTCGTCACAGCAAACCCAAACCTATGTGTTAATTTTTTGGTCTAATCTCTATATGCCTCAGTTTCCCCATCAATAGCATGCACCATAAAGGTGGTTGAGAAGGTTAAACTAGTGCAGGAGAAGCCTTCGGGAAAGGCTTGGCATTATCATGCAGTCAAGACTCTTAAGTCTTGATGAGTGTGATGAGTCAGTCATGGTCCAGAAAGTAACGGTGATGACCACTAGGCAAGGATGAAGGAGCAGATCGCTTTCTGGTCCAAAGACCTTATGGAGCCAAGGCGTGGAAGGGGAGAACCTACTTACCTGTCTGGGGTAGCACCCCAGCGGGGGGTGCACGGGTTGCTGGTAGGGCATCCTTGTTGACCGCTGTGGGTACAGGCCCTAAGGAGAAAAAGAGAGGTTCCCGATGCTAGGCAAGAGTCCCCAGCCTGGGCGTGGAAGCTGCTCAGCATCTGACCCACAGGCCTAGATCTAGATCCTAGGTTGACTCCCTCCCATCCCCCAGCTGACTGACTCCACGAAGTTGCCTAGAGCTGACTGGACCTGGCTGGGGCCAACACAGCCCAGGCCACAAGGGAAGCCCCTTTGCAACAGACTCCAAAGCCTGATTGGGTGTTCAGGAATGTTTAGGAGAGAGTGTCAAAGACGGACCGTCTCTCAGAGGCTGACCTGTGTCCCTGAGACAGCTGCTTCACCTCTCTGGGGGTATTTCCTTTATCTTCACAGGAGTGTGGGGCCAGGCCTGCAAAGCCTGTGGCAATGGTCTCATAGTCATTGTCACTATCTACATACACATGGGTGGAGACCGGAGGAGGACCTCCTGTGCCATTTCTCGGGTGTTGCCCACCTTGTTGGATTTTTTGTTTGTTTGTTTTCATTTTTGTTTTTAACATAAAGTTTCCTATTGGCCTGAGGCTTACCACATAGACTGTGTCGTCCGACCCGTTAAACCCCAAAGATCCCCATCTCCACCTCCCCAGTACTAGGCTCACAACTGCGCCTCACCAGGCTCAGCTTTTTTACTGGAGCTTGGGTGGATGAAGCCCAGGTCCTCGAGCTTGCCGGGCAAGCACTTAACTGAAGGACTAAGCTGTCTCCTCAGCCATCACTCTTTTCTACCTTTTTCTAAGCCAATTTCTCACCTAAGATGTGAGGTGTCCTATACATCTGGGTACCAGCACTGTTAAATCCCATGTTCAAGTACATCTGCATGTGTAGGGGCCTGGGTCTCGCCAGCTGTGGTTCTGTGTACAGATGTGCAGCTATGGCCCCCTGCGTGCTCATTTGGGTTTCTGCGAGGGGGCCTCTGTGTATCTGTAGCTCATGGTGAGGGTAAGCAGGAGGATAAATAAAGGAATGCCAGCAAAGAGCTGAGAAAGCACCTGGGCACATAGTAAGGACTCTGTAAATGTTACGTCTGTCCATCATCCCCCACTGGCCCCTCCCTCTAGGATCTCTGGCAGCTTAGCCCAAGGGGATGGAAATTTTACTTACAGCTCTGACTAAGGGTGGGGCCTGGGATATCATGTGTTCATAGAGACACAAAACTCACACATCTAGCCGAAATGTTACAAAGGGTGGGCCAACCCATGACCCCTCCAACTGTCCACCCAGTCATTATCTACATCACAAGGGTGCCCCACCCTAGCCCTTTGGGTCCCCACATGGGGACCAGGAAAGCTATGAATGCAGCCTAACATAAAAATGGTAAGCTTACTTAAAACATTATCCTGAGATTGTTTTGCAACTCTTTTGTGATGATAGAATGATTCTAGGGCATGAACGTCTTGTCACAATGTCATGTAAAGTAAACACGTTTGCTCCTGCAAACCCATGGGCCGTGGGTTGTGCACCCCTAGCTTTAATGTGTGGCTCTAGGCAACTCTTCTTCATCCAGTGTGGCCAGAGATGCTAAAAAGCTGGACACTCTGCACCTAGCATAATGCTCAAATCCCAATGCACCTCTCAGCCCAGGACATCTTTCCAGAGCATCCTTCATCCCAAAGTGCTGTCTGTGTTCTGGGTTTGTGTCAGTCACCAAAATGGTGATAGTGAGTGGACACCATGCTTCTGATGATGTCCTTTGCTCTTCATGAAGGGCTCCAGGATCTCTGATGGGGAGTTACCCCAGAAGCCTCCCAGATCTTCCTGTTCCAGCTTCCAAGTCTCTGAGAATCGCACATCCCATCAGAGAGCCCAGCGGGTCCTCTGTCACTAATCACGGACCCTTGAGACCTTCCTTCCTGTTTTGGCCCCTCCCACTTCCACCATCCTTGCCTGAAGCCAGTCCATGAACCACCCCACCCACCCCTCGTGCCCTATTGCTTAAAGTTCTGTAACCGGTTCGGCCAACCAGCCCAGTCCCTACCACCCCATCCTGGTATGGACCTGGCCAGAGAAGTCCTGCCAAAGGAATGACCTTGCTCATTCCTGGCCTTCGCTGAGCCACAAGGCCTCTGGGCAGGTTGCTAAGGGACCTTCTGCTGCTGCTTCCTTTCTACTCCATTGACAAGCTTAACTGCCACCTCTCCCAGGACTGCAGACACCAGGCAGCCATCCACCACCACCACCTGTTCTGCACTAGGCCACACTGGGGCCAATGGAGGGCACAGAGCTGGCCAGCCCTGCCCCCTCCCTGTAAGAGATGTTGCCTCGTTCATTAGTATGGGAAAGACTGCCTGACTCTAGGGACCTTTGCAGTTGTTAGAATTTCAGCTTTGGAAAATCGTGAACGAGCAGGGGCGAATAAGCATTCACTCCTCTTCGCTTGAGGCCACGGCCTTTCCCCACATGGCTTCCCTTCTTCATCTGAAGATGCTCATGCTCCGTGTTAGGAACCTTGTCTTCCTATCCCTGAGTCTCTCTACCATGGCGCTCTGAGTAAATTGGATTTGGGGGCCTCATCTTTATTCCTTCGGCCCTGTGTGGAACTGACTGTGATAGACTCGTCCCCTGTTCTCTCTGCCCCCTCAAGGTCTACTGAACTCCCTGACCCCCTTTTCTTGGAGGGCCTTAACTGAATATTAATGCAATGAACATCTGTGTCACACTGGGGATTTTGAGAGTCCTTCCCCGTGCTTGGGCTCAATTAATCCTTATAACCAAATTGGTCTCTGTGGCTGCCGTAATTATGATAAGCCTGGCTCTCCTCCAGACAAACTGGGGAAGTTAAGGAACTTGCCCGAGGCCACACAGTGCAGATGCTGCAGAGCCCTCTCCCCCATCTTCTGGTTTCCAGATTTGCCTTCTCGGCTGTATCAGGCTTCCCGACCAGTTCTCTCAAAGCAAGCACTAGGAGATTGTGAGACACTATGAGAAAGCAGAGATGCTGTCTTTGGCCACCATCTGGGAGGGTCAGCTCCTTCATGGCCAATTTCAGTTGGGCCCACTCACTGCCTGAATTGTCTCACAGAATCTAGTAGGTCCTCCCAGACAGGCCAGGGCATCACTTTTTTGCAGAAGTGGATAAATGGATAGATAGATGGATAGATGGATGAATGGATGGATGAGTAGATGGATAGATGAATGGATGGATGGATGAGTGGATAGATGGATGAATGGATGGATGGATGGATGGATGGATGGATGGATGGATGAGTGGATGATGGATGGATGAGTGGATGATGGATGAGTTGATGGATGGATGAGTTGATGGATGGATGGATAGATGGATGGATGGATGGATGGATGAGTGGGTGGATGGATGGATAGATGTATGTATGTATGTATGAATGGATGGATGGATGGATGGATGGAAGGATGGATGGATGGGTAAAGATAAGTAGACAAATGGTAGATGAATGGATGGATAGGAATATGGATGAGTAGTCAAGTGGACAGAGAGATGGATACATAAAGCAGAAAGACCCAAATAAGCAGCAGTCAGAGAATGCTTCAGAATGAGCCTGGGGATCCAGCTGCCTAAGACACTAGACTGAGCTGAACTTCCAATGCATGTTACAGAAAAATCTATCTTTTGATGTACAAGAAAGTACTCTCTGCTTCTAGAAACTTGCCATCCAGAGGTGCTGACTCAGTTTCCCTCCTTCTGTAGGAAAGTCACAGTCAGCCATACAATATGAACACCTGTGTCTCTGAAGACACAGGACAGGCTTTATGCTCGGAAAAAATATATCCAAACCTTATTCACTTGAAAAAGCCAAGTTGGTGGAGCATTGCAGTGCAGCCCGACACTGTGATCTTGGTGCATGTGTTCAGCAAGAGTGACTTCCCACCATAGAAAGCATGCAGTTGTGTTTGGTTTTGAGTGTATCCCCCTCATCTTTGATTTGCTCCCGAACTTGCACTGGACTCCAAGCCTCTTCATCACCTTTGAGTGCCCTCACCTAGTGCAATGCTCAGCCTGAAGTAAGCCCATAGCAGAGGTCTTTAAGATTACTTAAGAAACATGAATAAATAAATAAAAATGAGTCGGCCAATGAGTAGGTGAATAAATGAATGGGGATTAGGCAAGCCCCAAATTGCAAGGGGCTAAGAATGCCAGTGAAGAAAGCCATGAATTAATGACCCAGATGCTTCTCTCGAGACTGTGTGAAGAAGTTATTACTAATGTGAAGATGATGCCCTGTGATTTCCACTGGATGATCTCCACCTCATCCTGTGTGGGGTGGGGAAGTGCAGATTCATTCTTTCTGAAAAAGTTGAGAACAAAATAGAGACTGGTCCTTTGCTAAGCTCCTTTAAGATGGAGATGCAGGGGCATCAGCTCAGGGAGTCCTTAGAGTAGAGAGGCTCCCCGCTTACACTAAGCATACACTTCTTGCTCTGTGGTAAACAGAGAAAAGGCACTGGCTCCGAGCAGAAGGAACATGGAGGAGGACAAGTTAAGTGTGACACAAATTTCTTCTCCATTTCTCCCTTCCAGACCTGGCTTCCTGGAGGAACTATGGGACATGACAGAGAAGAACCAGGAGTGGGAACTGAAGCTGGGGAAATCTTGGATGCTGAGCACCTCTCCTGAAACCACAGAGCGCTACCTAAGGGGACTGTTAAGTTATTGGATCGGACAAAGGCTTAAACTAGAGTGGACATTTATTTGATTCTTTCTTCCTTCTACCAAGTGGGCCATGGCTCTTAAGGGATATTAAGTTAAGTGGACAAAATGAAGAAACTACATTTTCCCTGCATAAATAAGCTCCGTGAGCAAAATTTCAAACCCTGCTAGAATTCTACCCTATCCCCTTGTGTGGCACTTCTAACTCCCTTTCAGACAGGATCCCAAGATCATGTGTACAAGCATGGTATGCATGTGTGTGAGCACATAAGTGTGTGTGTGTGTGTGTGTGTGTACCAAGTGGTGAGTCATTGTGGTTACAAGGAAAATAGCAGCAGAGGTCCGGACATTGTACACTCTTGTTCTCGTGTGACCTATGGTTAGGGATGGTGTTCAAGGGGAGCCCCAAGGCTCTTGGCACAGCAGGCTCCATTGGGGAGCCAGAGCCACCAACTTACCTGATACTGAGGGAAGGTAGAGTGGCTGGAGAACACGGGTGGAGGTGGACAGTTCAGATTGAGCCAGAGAGGCTGGTTCAGGGTGGTCGAGGTCAAGGCTGTGGTGAAACGTGGGGCAAAAACATTCCCAGCATACTTAATGTTGTTCTTGTCCGGCACTGTTGTCGGTGGGTTAACTGAAAGGCACAGCATGGGAAAGCAGCTCAGTGCCTGCAGCAGGGAGAGGCTGGATGCCTTCTGTGATATAACCACCCAGGATGCACGCTCTCAGGGTCACATCCTTTAAACTCCAATAGGGTCCTTCCAAGTCCAGGAGGTTTCTAACTCCAGGCAACCATCATTAGTGCACCGCTTGCTCATTTGGAAGGAATGGCTTCTCTCTCCATTACTCACTGGTAAATGAGGCTGGTGCGCAAGGTATGCAAGAAACCACATTGCAAAGGCTGTGTTTCACCTACTTGCAAAGCCGAATTCCAGCTTTATACAAACAAATGCAAAGCTGTTGCCAAGGGTTTCCCTCTAGTGATTAAAACCACCCCGGCCAGGGCTGGATACTGAGCAACACTAGAAACTTTGTGCAGGCTGTTGTCTCTATATAGCAGTGGCTTCCTAATATTTTAAAGATTAATTTTCATCTTCCTTTATGTGTATGTATATGTCCTGTGTGTAAAGAGGACAGGTGTCAGACCCCCTGAAGCTTGTGAGTCACCCAAAGTGGGTGCTGGGGACGGAACTCTGGTCCTTTGGAAGAGCAATAAGCACCCTTAACCACTGAGCCATCTCTCTAGCTCTCAGTGATTTCCTGAGCATTTAAAATCACGAAATAGTTCAGTGTGGGCTAACTTAATACTGAGTTCTAAAGCATGAGGTTCGGTTTAACTGTTACTGTGCATGAATACTGGATTCTTCTTTTCTACAGAGACATCCATGGACTATGGAATCAGAAATAAGGCCCTCCATGGCATCCTTTTTTGTTAATTTGTTTGTGTTTGGAAAGGGTTTTGCCTTTATGACTGAAGCAGTTGTAGGAGAGAGCAAAGGAGAGGAAGCCAGGCCAGGCTGTGGATAATCTCAATGTGGAAATAATACAAAGCATGGATTTCTCTGTGGCCTGGGCAAACTGAGAAGCTGTAATATATCTCAGGTTGGGGCTATGGACCACATCAGTTGTTGTTTGTGCCTGTGGAATCTCTGAAAACCAATTATATTCCTCTAGCAACTGGATTCCCATAGGGGATGCTGGGAGAAAATCATTTCCTCCATTTTATGGAGTTAAAAATCCTGACGCCCATGGGAAAACAGTGACATGCCCACGGACAGAATGAGGTACCCCTGCCTGGATCTATGATAGTTTCTGGGTACCCACCCAGGGAAGGTTCACTTACATTTCAGATCCAGCCCATCCATATCCACTTTGCTTCGAAGCCTCAGCTGCCCACCAGGGTTCTTAGTGGCCCCAAAAATCTCGTAGAGCAGGTTCTTCTCAGCCGGCCACACAGGCTTCTTGGTTGGCAGAGTCACTGAGATGGTGCCCATTGCATCACTGTGACCCTCCTCACCACAGGTGTCCTTCCGGCTCTGGGGCCACTGGCTGAGAAAGAGGCTCTCTCGACCTTTGGTCAGCTCTTTGGTACCAGGGGTTCGTTCTACAGAAAGAGTAAACTGAGTCAAAGCCTCTGAGAAGCAAAACTTTTTGTGGATTGTTTTCTTGCAGCCCATAGCTCATACTGAGGTCCAGGCCATACGAAGGAATGTGTTTCAGTCAGGTGCATACCCAGGCTCATGCGGAAGTCTCCTCTGATTGCTGCCCGTTCCGACCTCCCTGTCTTATACAGTCATCTCTCCATCCACCTGTCTACTGATCCATCTGCCCATTAATCCATTCACCCACCTAACTCAGCCAGCCAGCCAGCCATCCTTATCCATCCATCTTTCCATTCACTCATCAGTCCATTCATCTGTTCATTGGTTTATCCAGCCAGCCACTTATTCTTTTATTCATCTATCTGTTCATCTACCTATCCATTCATTCATCCACTCATCTGTCTATGCACTCATCCATTCATCTATCTATCCACTCATCCATTCATCTATCCATTTGTTTATTCATTCACCTATCCATCTACCCATGTCTTTTTCTTTTTTTTTTCTTCTTAGACATGGCCTTACTGTGTAGCCCTGGTTGACCCACTATGTAGACCAGGGCCTTAAGGTCACAGGGACCTGCTTGTCTCTGTCTCCTGAGTGCTGAAATTAAAGATGTACACCACTATGGCTGGCCATTCATTTTCATTCTTCCTTTCCTCCCTCCCTTCTCTTCTTCTTTCTTCCCCCACTTTTCCCTCCCTCTCTTACTTCTTTCTTTCCATCTGTAGTGCCAGGCTAAGGATATGAGGTAGCTTGAATGTGGTCTGGCCATGAGGGAGCACCTGGCTTAGGGAAGGAAACACATATCCCTACAGAACACACAGTTGAGCCATGCTGCTTAGTCCCTTATCATGAACTTCACCTCTGCTGTGATTCCCACAGGTGATTCAGCTCTCCCATCAGCACCAGGCCTTGCCCTGAGTACTGGGGACAAAGTGATGAGTCAGAGCCAGGCTGCCCTGCAGGAGCTCACACAAGGAAGAGGGAGATGTGCCCAGAAATAGCTCCAGGACAAGGCAGATGGGCACCATGAGGTGACAAAGAGACAGAATGGGAGAAGACACTGGCTGGGATCTTGTCTGTCGGAGAGGATCCTTCAACCAAGAAAGAAAGGTTTAGTAAGACCCTCATTGGGGCTATCAGGAAGGTGTCACAGGCCTGAGCAACTATAGACAAACACCGAAAACATCACAGGGACAAAGTGAGTCATCATAAATGACTGGAATTACAGAAGGGACTCAATGGGTGTCAGACTCTGGTCTGACTGCACATGCACCAAGCATCCATCCCTTGCAGAAGGACATTCTGACACCTGATGACACCCGTGACATCTCCACAGAGCTCTCGCCCACATTTCCCTCAGCTTTGTCATGCTTTCTTCAAAAACGAAGTGTTTGTGTGTGGAGCAGTGAATGGAAAACAGTCTGAGAAAGAATTGCGTTTTACTGAAAACACATGGAATTTCTTGTTATTATTCCCTAGACCACACACTGTAACCACCATTTACACAGCGTTTACACTGGATCAGGCACCATCAGTATCAATAGATGTTTACAGTGTGCAGGAGGGAGTGGGTAGGTGGTATGCCATTGTGCATAAGACTCTTGAGCATTTATGGACTGGGTGTTTGAGGGGTTCCTGGGACCAAGGACTAGAGAGACAGCTTTATAAATGTGTATACACTTAAGTTATATTAGATGTTATATAATATGTATACATATACCCACATGTGTATACACGTAAGTTATATTATATATTATATAATTAATACACATACTCATATGTGTATACACATAAGTTATTATTGTATAATATATACACATACTCACATGTGTATACACATGTTATATTATATATTATATAGCGCATACATATACTCACATGTGGACATAATTATTATTAAGGCATTTCTCTGTTAGAAGCAGAAAGTGGGCTTTGCCCTCTGCCCTTCACTCCTTCCTCAGACTGGCTGTCTCTGAAAGCCTCTGCAGAGCTTGGCTAAGAAGCCCATGTGCAGGGGGATGGCTCTGAGCTGCTCTGGACAGGCTGCAGGCACCTGGGAGCTCTGGTACTAGCTGGCTCTGAGGCCCTGTGCTTCATTTGTTACCTGTGGCAGTGGTCGTGATCCCACCATATCATGGACTCCCTAAAATCCAGCCCAGCAGCCTCAAGAGCCTCTGCATGGACCTGGACCTTACCTTCCTAGCAAAGGAAAGCATTGCTCTAGCCAGGGCCAATTTAGGAGACGGTGACAATTTTAGCAGAACATGTCCCCAGAGTCTCTTCCAGGAGTTCCTCTGGTTGCTGAGTTTAGCCCCCAGCTAGAATGCTGAAATAACATACCCACTAATAATAGTCATTTCCCCAGAGACTGGCATATTTGCAGCCTCTCGCACATCTACACTCAGTCCCTTGAACATCTGCAAGACCCCTGACATCTGGACATCTGG